TACCTTTGAAGTTTATAACACAAGCATGCAACATATCCTCAAGCGTCTGAATAGTCCGCTCTGCCTGCCCGTCAGTCTGCGGGTGAAAGGATGTACTAAGATTCACTTGAGTACCCAAACCTTGCTGAAATTTCTTCCAAAACTTAGCAGTGAATTGTGCCCCCGATCAGAAATGATGGAAACTGGGGTGCCATGCAACCTGACTATTTCTTTGATATATAACTCAACATACTTCTCTACTGTGTCGGTAGACTTAACCGGCAAAAAGTGTGCTGATTTTGTGAGTCGATCCACAATCACCCAAATTGAGTCAAACTTGTGCGGAGTGCGCGGTAATCCTACCACAAAGTCCATATTAATCATTTCCCATTTTCACATTGGAATTTCTATGTTCTGTGCCAACCCACCGGGCCTTTGGTGTTCGGCCTTCACTTGCTGACAGTTCGGACATCTTGCTACAAAGTCCGCCACATTTCTCTTCATATCATTCCACCAATAGACTTCCTTAAGATCATGATACATTTTCGTAGAACCTGGGTGCACGGAATACCTAGAAGTGTGAGCTTCAGTCATAATTCTTTCCCGATGACCATCCACATTTGGAACACAGAGTCGCCCTTGGTACCTTAGTGTACCATCATCCATGCCAAGAGAAAAGGCCATGGTCTTATGTTTATGAATCCCCTCTTTCAACTGCACCAACAATGGATTGTTGTATTGCTTCTCTTTGACTTCCATAACAAGCGATGATTCAACCCTATTTTGCACAATTACCCCTCCTTCACTAGAGTCCGCAAGACGAACTCCCAAACTAGCCAATTAGTGATCGCATAACCCAAAAATGAAGCTCCGGAACAAGGTATGCGATCGCATAACCGATAGGCGGACCGCATATCAGTCGCATAGTATGTTACAAAATAGCTAAAAGAACTGTCTGTGTATGCGATCACTATGCGGTCCACATAACCGTTATGCGATCGCATAATGCACCGCATAATAGTTATGCGGTCGCATAGTCGATCGCATAATTGCTTCCAATTGGTCTAATTAACTGCCTCACTCTGCTGCCATTATGCGGTCCGTAGAGTGATTCTGCGGTCGCATAATGGACCGCAGAAATGTACTTTTCTGCCAAAAATATTTCTTTACTTTTCGGGCTAGTCCGACATCATGAAATATTATTTTCTTTTCAAAATTTACCCGGCTTACCACTTAAGTACACGAAATTTTCCGGGGTGTTACAAGTTTAACCAACATACCTAGCTTTGAGATTTCCTTAATTCACTACACAGTTCCGGAATCCTAGCAACTTTGATCTATTTAGAGACACAACAGCATTGAACACGAATTAGGAAGGAGTTCACGATTCTAGCTCATTTGAGCATTTTATCAAACACTAGGTGGCCATTATGATCTCAAGGTCCTCCTATGGCGGATTCCGCTATTTCACTACCCAAAATCTACCCAATTGAGCTCAACAATCTCCCCACAATCATAGATAGTACATGCATGCATATTGAACAACTCCCACGCCCAAGAATTGCCTGGCTTACTACCTATTTTTAGTTAAATCTCGAAATTGAAGGCTATGGCTAGAATCTTACTTTTTTGGTTGAAGACCTTATGAGACCCTTGTGAAATCTTCAAGGCTTTCGCAAAGATTGATGAACAAATGACTTGGAAATTCCTTTTCTCACTCTAGACTACCTTCCTCTCTCTAAAATATAAGTTTGAACCTTCTAATATGATCCCTAAGATTATTTTATAAGAATGGGGTCGAGTTTATAAAACCAGAAAAATGAAGCCCCGATGCAGATCTGCGGTCGCATACGCAACCGCATAACGCTTCTGCGGCCCGTGAAATAGACCGAATAATGGCCCTCCGGAACTGGGCACTCCTGCCTTACTCTGTGACCGGTCTGTGGTCTGCGGTCCGCAGACCTATTCTACGGTCGCATAGTGAGCCGCAGAACTTCCCCCCGAAAATTTTCATGCTGGGTCTATGATAGGTTGTGCGGCTCGCAAAATGATTATTCGGCCGCATAATGGACTGCATAATGGTCCAAAGATTAGCCTAGATTTCTGCTTCAGTCTGCAACAGATCTGCGATCCGCATATCAGTTCTGCGATCGCAGAAATGCCCTACACTTCCAAATATTTTTCTTCAACTCCCCAACGCATTGTTCAACCCAAAAAATCTGAATACTTCATATCAATCATCAACGCATAAGTCTACTCCAACATCACGAAACCCCGGGTTTAGGTAAAACATTTATGGGGACTTACATCCTCCCCGCTTAAGATCATTCATCCTTGAATGAGGGCCAAAATCCGCCATTAGAAACCAATGTGAATCAGCTGCTATAACACACACCAATAGTTCCAAACTTTTGACTAACTCCCCAAATTTCCAAAATTTTTGCCAGAGTTTCCCCTGTAACTGGGCCTATCCACCTGTCAGAGAATCCCAAAAACCAACCTTAACAACATAACCACAACACAACGGTGTTAAACAATATGGAAACAACACCGGCAACAATGCCATAAACATTGCATTACCAAGAGGGTGTATCCTTAACATAAGCTGCACAGGGGGAAATCATAATTTGCATAAAATTAGCTCTTAACATCATAGACTATTACATAGCTATTCAAATAAATTAGGGTACTTCTTCTTCATCTCTTCCTCGGCCTTCCAGGTGGTCTATTCGACTTGTTGGTTTTGCCATAACACTTTTACGGAGGCAATCTCTTTATTCCTCAACTTTCGAACTTGCTTATCAAGAATTGCAACTGGAATTTCTTCATAAGTCAATTCTTCATTAACCTTAATTGTATCAACCAGAACAATGAGCGACGGATCTCCAACCACCTTCTTCAACATGGATACGTGGAACACCGAGTGCACTAAAGACATATTTGGAGATAGTTCAAGCTTGTATGCCACCCGACCAACCCTCTGAATGATTCTGTATGGTCCGACATACCTTAGACTCAGCTTCCCTTTCTTACCAAATCACATTATGCCCTTCATGGGGGAAACCTTCAAGAATACCCAATCATCCTCTTTAAACTCCAAATCCATGGGACGCACATCCGAATAGGACTTTTGATGAATCTGAGCAGTTTTTACCCGTTCTGTAATGATCTTAACCTTCTCCATAGCAGATGCACGAGGTCTGGTTCTATCAACTCTGCTTCCCGAATCTCGAACCATCCAATGGGAGATCTATATCTCCTACCATATAGAGCCTCAAACGGTGCCATCTGAATGCTAGCATGATAACTATTATTGTAGGCGAATTCTATGAGCAGTAAATGATTATCCCAATTACCTTTGAAGTTGAGAACACAAGAGTGCAAAATATCCACAGCGTCTGAATAGTTCGCTCTTCTTGCCCGTCGGTCTGTAGATGGAAAGATGTACTAAGATTTACCTGAGTACCCAAGCCTTGCTGAAATTTCTTCCAAAGGTTAGCTGTGACTTGTGCCCCCCGATCAGAAATGATGGAAATTGGAGTGCCATGCAGCCTGACGATTTTCTTGATATACAATTGAGCATACTGTTCCGCTGTGTTGGTAGCCTTAACAGGTAAGAAGTGAGTTGATTTCGTGATTCGGTCCACAATCACCCAAATCGATTCGAACATGCGAGGAGTGCGAGGTAGTCCTACCACAAAGTCCATATTGATTATCTCCCATTTCCACATCAAAATTTCTATGTTCTGTGCCAACCCACCGAGCCTTTGGTGTTCAGCCTTCACTTGCTGACAATTTGGACATTTTGCCACAAAGTCCCCTACATTCCTCTTCATATCATTCCACCATTAGACTTCCTTAAGATCATGGTATATCTCTATAGAGCCCGGGTGCACGGAATACCTAAAAGTGTGAGCCTCGGTCATGATTCTTTCCCGGAGACCATCCACATTTGGAACACATAATCGCCCTTGGTACCTTATTGTACCATCATCCATGCCAAGTGAAAAGGCCATGGTCTTATGTTTATGAATCCCCTCCTTCAATTGTACAAACAATGGGTCATTGTATTGCTTCTCCTTGACTTCCACAACAAGCAATGATTCAGCCCTATTTTGCACAATCACTCTTCCTTCACTAGAATTCGCAAGACGAACTCCCAAACTAGCCACCCAACGGCCTTTGATATGCCTCCAAGTGAGCCAAACTGCCCATAGATTTCTGGCTAAGAGCATCCGCTACAACATTGGCCTTCCCCGGATGATATAGAATATCGATGTCGTAATCCTTGAGTAACTCACATGGACTCCATACAGATAATGAAGCCAAATCTTCAACGCAAATACCACCGCCGCAAGCTCTAAGTCATGTGTTGGATAGTTCTTTTCATGATTCTTGAGTTTCCTATAAGCATAAGCTATCACCTTGCCATGTTGCATTAATACACACACAAGTCAGATTCTTGAAGCATGGAGTGGGGTTTATGATCCTTCTAATATGATCCCTAAGATTGTTTTATAAGAATGGAGTGGGGTTTATAAAACCAGAAAAATGAAGCCCCGATGCAGATTTGCGGTCGCATATGCGACCGCATAACGCTTCTGCGGTTCGCGGAATGGACCACATAATGGCCCTCAGGAACTGGGCACTTTTGCCTCACTCTGCGACCGGTCTGCGATCCGGAAGACCCTCGACTCAGGAAGGGCAAGAAGAAGAAGAGGAAAGCAAGGAAGGAAGAAAGATGGAAGAGAAAAGAAAAAGGGAGAGATAAAGGATAATTAGTACCCAATAATAGCAACAGGAAAATACAATACCTGAGGCGAACAATGAAGAGACATGCATGCTACTAAGACTATCGGTGAACAACTATAAACTGCCCACTAACCTTCTACCTTAATCCTCGACCTCCACACCATCCTCTCAAGGGTCATGTCCTCAGTGAGCTGAAGCAGCGCCATGTCCTGCCTAATCACCTATACCCAGTACTTCTTAAGACTACCTCGACCTCTTCTCAAACTCTCAATGGCCAACCTCTCACACCTTCTGACAGGAGCATCAATGCTTCTTCTCTTAATATGTTCGAACCATCTCAGCCTTGACTCTCGCATCTTGTCCTCCACGGAGGCTACTCCCACTCTGTCCCGGATAGCTTCATTCTTAATCCTATCTTTCTTGGTACACCCACACATCCATTTCAACATCTTCATCTCTGCTACTCTCATCTTCTGCACGTGGGAGTTCATGACTGGCCAACACTCAGCTCCATACAGCATAGCCGGTCGAACCACCACTCGATAAAACTTATCATTAAGTTTTAGCGGCACATTCCTATCACACAAAACACCGGAAGCGAGCCTCCACTTCATCCATCCCGCTCCGATGCGATGCGCGACATCTTCGTCAATGTCCCCGTTACCTTGGATAATAGACCCGAGATACTTAAAACTTTCTCTCTTGGGGATAACTTGAGCATCAAGCTTAACCTCTACATCTGCATCAGGGGTCCCGTCACTGAATTTGCACTCCAAGTATTCTGTCTTGGTTCTACTCAGTTTGAAACCTTTAGATTCCAAGGTCTGTCTCCAAACCTCCAACCTCACGTTAACTCCACTACGCGTCTCGTCAATCAACACTATATCATCGGTAAATAGCATGCACCAAGGCACCTCCCCTTGGATGTGATGCGACAATACATCCATCTCCATGGCAAACAAAAATGGGCTAAGAGCCAGCCCGCAAAATGATTATGCGGCTGCATAATGGACCGCATAATGGTCAAAAAATTTTCCCAGATTTCTGCTTTAGTTTGCAATAGATCTACGGTCCGCAGATCAGTTTTGCGACCGCAGAATGGACCGCACAAATGCCCTGCACTTCCAAATATTTTTCTTCAACTCCCTAACGCACTGTTCAACCCAAAAAGTCTGAATACTTCATATCAATCATCAATGCATAAGTCTACCCCGATATCACGAAACCCTGGGTTTGGGCAAAACTATTACGGGGACTTACATAAGTTTCGATTCTTATAATTATGCACTGTATCAATCTCAACAAGTTGTATGAAGCCGTCAATACAATGCAAAGATCAAACCACACGATGTACCCCATAACCCATGTGCTCACAGCAATAACTTCTGACTACAATAGCTGCTCATTACCAACCCTGGTACCGGTAATATACTTCATATCAGATAAAACCTCATTCCAAACCTTCGTAGCACTACAATGATGAAAAAAACACATAGAAACTCATAACCACCAATCAAACCAACAAGTAATGGAGTTCCCTCGCCCAACAAGAACCGTAGACAAATTTTGAGCTGATTAATGACATTATTCTTCCAAAAATACCTTATCCAAATCCAATTGCACAAATTCCAGGTCCAATAACCTCGCCTCACCCAATACAAGCTGCCTGACCGGCATGCCACATCAAATTCAATCTAGAACCAATCACCCTAGCATACCACATGAAAGTCTTAACACATGTTACTACAAATGTGAGGCATTCATTACCGAGATTTAAGACAAAGTAAGTAAACAGATTCTTGAACATTCAAGCGTCAATACACTAACTAAACAATCTTAGGAAGATTCAGATTACCCAGTTATGCATAGATAATCTCAGAACTAGCAGCATTAGTACTAGTTAAATGCTAAAGAGACTTAAAGCGCATGCAAAGTTAATAGAGTGGTGCTTCAAAGTAACCCAGAAATATATTAAGCCATGGATTTTAGAAGGAAGAACACATGAAAATCAGAGACACATAAGGATGAAATTGCAAAGGGCAAGTAACTTACCAGTTAAACGAAAATACAAGAAAGAACAAAAGTCCACAGTATTCTGAACATCAACGAGAAGCAAGAACCCAGAATTTAGTGGCCTTGGCTTTCAGCCGGCCAAAACCAAAGTATAGAACGAGATAATGAAGAATGACTGAGTAAAGCTTTAAATATTTAGTGAGATTCTAGCGATTCCCAGCCTTTTTTCTAAAGGGGAATGGGGATGGGTTTATATAGTGACAAAGATTGAACAAGTAAATAAGGAAAGGTGTCAATCAAACACTAGAAAGGAAAGAACATCACATGCAATCGAAATCAGTAAGGAAAAGAGAAATTTTAAAACCCTAATTTTAGGGAAAGTACAAAAAATCGACAGAGTCTAAAAATAAAAAATCAAACGTTGCACAGAATCAGATGAATATAGACATAAACATCGCTTAAAATCAAAGAATCAAACCAATTTTGGTTCGATTTAAAGAGATCTGAAACCCTAATTATTAGGGTAAGTAAGAATCAACAGAATATAAACAAATGTTTGAACTCACAGTAGCATAGGATGAACATAGACGGAATAACATTCAAAAAATAGGGATTTGAACCGATTTTGGTTCGATTTTGAGGAGATGTGCTTGCCTTTTTTAGGCAAGCACTATAGGAGAGTAGCCAGTACCACAAGGGGGTCGAGTATGGTAAGTAATAGCCATAGAATCCCATATTAGGTGGGATTAGGAGAAGATTTAGGGGGCGGCGGCTAGGGTTCTTGAGAGGGGGAGAAGGGAGATGAGAGGATGCAGAGGCGGCGGGCAAAGGAGAAATGGGTTAAGGTTAGGGTTAGGGTGATTGGTTAATTAAGAAGGGGGATTAAACAGGGGCCGTTGATCTTAAGAGATCAACAACCTGGATTTAAAGTTTGAATGGGGCGGGTTAAATATAGCGGGTCCGACTGGGTTGGGATTTAGTCGGTCATTGGTTTGGGCCGGGGTTATTTGGGTTAGTGTATTAGGTATTTTGGGCCATTGTTTGGTCTGAAAATAGGTTTAAAAGTGGGGCTAATTTTTAAATACCCAATATTTATTAAAACAATAATTTATAAAAGTTATTAATAAATAAATAAATTATTATTTGTGCCCTAAAATGATTAAAAATAATAACTTAATATTATAAAAATATAAAAAAGTTAATTTTTGCATAAATAATATAATTATACATGAATACAGGCTATTATTGCAAAAATGTACAATTAGCCTAAAAATGCAAAGGTAATTATAAAAAGAATGCACTGAAAAATATTTAAAATATCATGTTCGTATAAATGATAAGTTTAGATAATTAAATAATCATAAAAATAATTTGGCGGATAATTACTGGATATTTATATAATAAAATGCAGAAATAAATTGGTTTAAAGTATTTACAAATTATGGAAAATTATAAAAAATACATGTATATACTTATGAATCAAAATGATGATGTGTATGCACTATTTTGAAAGTATATATATATATATTTAAAAATATGAGGGAAAAATTGGATATCAACAGTTGCCCATTTTTACCCGAGAATGATAAAAGAGTTGTCGGGTAAAGAAATGATGACCGATTTTGACCGAATGGGGTGATTTTAAAAAATATAGGCCGAACCCTAGTTTCTGAGTTGCCTACATATCCCTGATTTTACAGGAATCAGGCCATGTGTAGTTCTGGATCCAACGGTGGAATAAACCGATGGAGTTGTTGTAGGAACGGACAAGCTCTTCTGGATAGGACGATATCGGAACTGTGAATGGATGTATCTGGGAATGGTTATGGATATTTTAACTATTATCAAATGGGAATGGGTAACGGACGATGGTTGGTTACGTTTGCAGGATATGAACGTTGAACGGAAACCGGAGCGAAGATTGCTCCCGTTAGGAGGACGGTTACTTCCGGGATTACCTGCAAAACTTAAAACACAACGCATGCAAATATATATGGATTATTACGAGAATTTAAACATGATGCAAATTCCCTTTGGATCATGGAGATCGTCTTTGGACGGTGAGGATGATGTCCTTAGACCATGACATCGCGGGCCATGAATTGTGAGATATGGGATTCGCATGCAATGAAATAATGTTCTCGGGCCATGAGGATGATGCCTCTGAACCATGATGCCTTTGAATAATGATGTGCAATATTGATAGATCCTCAGGCCATGGCATGATGTCTTCTGGCTATGAGGATGATGCCTTCGGACTATAACGCCTTCGGACAAAATGGCGATATTTCAGCCCATGAGATGCAAAGACATGATACTTGGTTATGCAAAACGAAACAGGACAGAGCTTAGTCTTGTGTAAGATCGGGGGCAGAGCTTAGCCCCGAGGTAGAGAATAGTGCAAGGTTTTAAATAGCATAGCATTTGGAGTTACATAAAGAAAGGCAGAGCTTAGCCTTATGCGACTAGGGAGGCAACACCTACTGAGGAGGTCTACCCGTCTGTCTGTCTAAACCTGCACGCATGAAATGCAGCGTCCCTAGAAAAAGGGACGTCAGTACGAAATAATGTACCAAGTATGTAAGGCAATAAAATAACTGAAAGAAGAAACTGAACTAATAATATAATAACTGAAGGTAACTGGGAGTCAAAGATGATATGGAGATATACTTACCTGTTGATACTGACTCAACTCTCTCAATATAGTAAGTAAAATTAATGTCCGGCTCTATAAGGCTCGAAACGTGTAACTGCTCCTCCGTAGTAGGCTCGCTCATAGGCCCTCGGCCATACTAGGCTCTGTATCTCGGCCATTCTGGGCTCCCTCATAGGTGCTCGGACATAGTAGGCTCAATATATAACTTACCATCTGATCAGAGGTTGCCCAATAAGGGCCTGCCCATCGATTATAGCTAGGTGGTAATGAAAATACTGTAATACTGTATATATAGGCTCTCTGCTCTCTTGACTAGAAGAAGACAATACTCAATTAAATATGAAGTCCCGATAAGGAGAATACTGTAATTTATGAGACTAGGATAATTTATATAAATTCGGGAGTATGAACTTCTCTTTATGCCTCCTTATCAAATACATGTAATTACGAGATCATGCCAAAATAAAGGAAAGGATTAGCCTTAACATACCTGAGTCGACTCTCTTGACAATACCTCTAACACACGTCAATTGCGACAACACGTAACGGCGGATCGAAGTAGGGGAAAATCCGTACGATATTCTTGAGAAGGATTGCACCGTACTCCCTTAGAATTGCAAAATCCCGTTGCTACATTTTCATACGAATTTGTTGAGCATTAATCCGTTACTTTTTGTAGTGTAGTATGAACTTGATGAAGTAATTCACATTACTATTGAAAAAATATGATCATTGTAAGTGTGACCCTTCTTTATTTGGTAATTTTAGAAAAGATTTTTGTATTAGTGGGTGTGGGCCCCACTTGTAGCATTGTTGGCCAAAGACATCTCCAAGTTTTGCCACATTTTATTTGAATTCAAGAGTCATGTTTATGTAAGGTATTTGGCTTCCACGTTAATCTCCATTAGGTTTATCCAAAACATTTTAATTAATTACCAGTCCCTTAATGAACTTGATAATTCCCCACTAATCTAATAATTAACCAATTACTCACATAATTAAGAATTATCTCAAATTACTTAAAATACTACTCACTTTTAATACACTTTGTACACCTTACTATTATGGTCATGTGGTACCTTGTATCACACTAGTCCATAAATACCGGCTATTATAGCTTGGACCGTATTTTATCTCAAAGTGACAAACTTCGACGAAACTCATTTTCTTCGATCCGCTTACCCTCTCACCTTCACGAATTTACTCATGAATTATTTGAAATAGCATAATGCTTATAATCTCATAATAATCCCATTCCCTAACTTACGTCGATTTACGACGAAACTTTAACATACGAAAATGCGGGATATAACATCTCATTTCCGAGCTTCCATCAATTTACTTATGGCGTACTTTCACGTACGAAAACATGGGGTGTAATAGTATCGATGCTAAGGTCAGCTTTCTTATCCCTTTGGCCATAGCATCAAGTTGTACCTGCACAGATGTGTTAGCATTAACTTGGTGAACACCAGTTGATCTTCTTCTTTCAGCACTCTCAGAGGGCCACTGATTTGCATCTTCAGATAACTCATCAAGAATTGTGACTATCTCCTCTGGAGTCTTCTTCATCAATGGGCCTCCAGCTGCATTGCTCCATGTTCTACGTGAGGCCGGTGTCAATACATCCCAAAAGTCCCGAAGTTGCATCATGAGTTCAATTCTGCTATATTGACACTTTCTAACAATCTCCTTAAATGTCTCCCATGCTTCAAAAATAGTTTCCGTATCTTTCTGGCGGAAGTTATGGATTTCTCTTTTAAACTTGCCTGTTTTAGCTGAGGACAAATATTTATCAAGGAATTTTCTGGTCATCTCCTCCCAAGTTCTAATTAATCCCGTGGGCAAGCTTCGAAGCCACTGTTTTGCATCATCTTTAAGTGTTGAGGGGAATGCCCTTAAGTACACTACATCTTGTGACACACCATTGTATTGAAAGGTGTTCATAATCTCCTCGAAGTCCATTAGATGTGTGTTTGGATCTTTGTTTGGCTTCGCTCTGAAGACA